AGTGATATCGTCCAAGCAACAAGGCGACGAGAGAAAGAGTTCGCATAGATAGCGATTACAACAACAAAACAAAATTACAAAACAAACAATAACAAAATTATAAGAAATAAAATATTGATTTTTTTGCAAATTTCTCGATTTCAGCCAATTCATATAAGTCCAATATCATTATAATATGTTAGTTAGTTCCAGAACCATACTAAATGATACGAGGGTCTGTAAATGCCCGTTTCTGCCGAAAAGTGGCGCTGAGTAGCTGGTAGCCAACGTCCAGAATGGTTCGGAGTGCTAAGGGTTGAGAATCGCCAGTAGACGTTTACCGCGGGTTTATCTTAATGCCATTCGAAACGAGCACAGCCTCGCCGCGAAGCTAATGTTTTCCTTTCTGTCTGGCATTCCGAAGTCGATTTAAGAGGGCGGGTGTTGCTCGTTCGGGGCGGAAGGGGCATTCGCGGAGAGCAGGTGGCCGTGTACACGAAAGTTTGCCGTGATCGCGACGAAAGCAATGTCCCGTGGCAACGTCTTCCTCCGCTCTTGGAAGAAATCGTAAACTGTAGGGGTGGTGGTTGAGGTACGACAGTCTGGAGAAAAGCCTCGATGGAGCACAAAAAGGGGGATCCTCCGGGGAAACTTTTCTTTCGCCCCCCCCCCCCCGGGCATTAGAGGGCCGCCGCGTTTCTTTCTTAAGGTCGTTGAGTCTGTCGAGTTCAGGAAATAGGTCAAGCACTCTGCAGCCTAATGTCGCTTATCGTAAACTGTTAAACGGCGGCGTCGTCGTCGCGACGGAAATCGCACGCGAACACGAGCGCCCGGCGCGTCCAATTTATTAAGAAGTATTCTGGTTTTCGATTTTCAAAAGTCAAACTGTTCCCGCATTTTCTCGAAGCGCAACTATGCTCGTCCCACAATTCACGGCGGCGCTTTTTTACGCGGTAATTTGTAACGCTATTCGCGCGCTATTTTGTTCTTTTTTACACGTGATATCAATTTAGGCGATCTGAATTTACGCAGCCAGTAAAGTCTTGCAAAGCTCTTGAATCAGCCAAAAAATTGGCAAGCGTTGATCCGAAGAATCAACGAGCTCTTTAATTTCGACAAAATTTCATGAAATGCTTCTGCGAATATCGGTGAATTTATGAAAATTTAGTGAAATAAAATATTGAGACGAAATAATCCGAAAAAATTTATATTAAATGATTAGATCTACTTCCGAAAAGATTCATTGTGTACTTTAAATACCCATAAATGTATCAGTCAAAACTTGATGCAAAAAGTTTAATAGGTCCTTCGAAAGGATGAATATCTCATTTAAGTCAGCCACGTGTTTCACCTTTTTAAATTTTTCCGAGGGATCGATCGAGGTTTTAATATGAAACGGTATGGTTATATTTGTGAATCTATTACAATTGAGGAATAAAATTGTTTTAATGTGACAGTATGGAGATGATATTATTGTCTGTAACTGCGTTGTAGAAGGTACGATTTTTATTTCACAGCTCAGCGCAAGCTTTGAGATTTTAATCCAGGCGGGAGACAGATATCTGGTATTAAAATACACATCCAATTATAAAGGATCTTTTCATTCTACAATGGAAAGAGTTTCATGAAGTTTAAGAGGAAATCATTTATATTCACAACAGTTAGAGTATTTACCATTCAACGACAAAACATAATATCACTCTGCCGTTCAAAT